CATCTCCTAACTCTCATTTCTTTTTATTTCGAAACCAGACAGGCCGGTTCCAATTTCAACTGGAGACCCAAGAGGATTTTCTCTGACGAGATACCATCGAATATAAAATATCACGTGGAACGGTCCACAAAGAAAATGTTTCTCACGTGAAGCTAAGCTATACCAATAGTCCACTCTAACTCGGTTGCCATTTCTTGCTTTATTTTTTCGGAGCTCAATAGATTGTTTTCCCACTAGAACAAACATATTGAGGTGCTTATATTTCCGCTTTGGCCAGGAAATAACGTTTGTTCGCTTTCTCTGCAAGAAATAAATGCTGTTCTAGGAAAATATTGAAAATATATATACCGGGTGGCTACGGAAGTATTGCCTACGGAATATCTCAGTTATTGTATGAAGTAGGTTTGTGAAATTTGGAGCGTCGATATAATGACATAAGAGCTAGAATTTGAGCATATTGACATGTCAAAGTTAACTTCCGGTCTAACCGGAAGTAACATCAACTTTCTTATTTTAAATGGAAACCCTATTTGTTTTCTTTTCGCTTTATTCAGCATTCAATTCCCTTTCTAATGACATATCACAAGTTGGTATTTAACCAGAAACTAGATCAGAAAAAAATTATTATTGAAATTCACCGAGTAGGCCGTGGAAGCTAAATGAAAGCCAAAAATTGAAAAGTTGGCTATGGAAACCATACGTCAATTGATAACAGTTGCTACTACTGTGATATTTTATTTTCATTTTGGGAAAAAAACAATACTCTGTAGGTCCATAACTTAAATAGGAACATACAACTTTTTCTTGCCTGTACCATTCAGCATAACCATTCCTTTCTAATGATATAATAGAAAGTCATTATTTGAAATTAAATACCAAAAAATCCAATTATTATTCTACTCGGTGAATTTCAATAATAATTTTTTTCTGATCTAGTTTCTGGTTAGATACCAACTTGTGACATGTCATTAGAAAGGGAATTGAATGCTGAATGAAGCGAAAAGAAAAAAAATAGGGTTTCCATTTAAAATAAGAAAGTTGATGTTACTTCCGGTTAGACCGGAAGTTAATTTCGACATGTCAATATGCTCAAATTCTAGCTCTTATGTCATTTTATCGACGCTCCAAATTTCACAAACCTACTTCATACAATAACTGAGATATTCCGTAGGCAATACTTCCGTAGCCACCCGGTATATCCGGGAATATCCTATATATTCACCTCATCTTCATTTCTTTCCAGTTCTACTGAGTATGGCAACTGACTCGCCAAAATACGTATTCAGACTTTCCAAAATATAATTATGGTATTCTGAGATTTTTATACAGGGTAAGTCATGACTGACCAGCTATAGCTCAATGGCGGATAGAGGTAGTCAAGGTGAGTTGATATATATTCAAAAAACATAGTCTGTCTATTCTCAACAGAAATACAGGGCATTAGTTGAATTTAGGGGCGAAATTTTGATGAACGATATTTCAGGAAAGTTGGAAAATGAAGATTGATTTTCTGCATTCAAGTTCCGTTAATCATTTCATCTTCAACAAATTTCATCTTCGAATAATTAATTCCAGATAATTTTGCCAGTGTCCATTCTTTGTATATATTTTTCACTCGATTCCTGACAAGAATGATTGAACCAATACGTCTCCTTCCTTCATGTTTTCACATACCTATAACAACTTTCATACATGCCCTTTTGTCAAACGCAGAATTTCTTGTAAACAGAAAATATATGTTGTTTTCAACAATGCCTGGCTATGATGAATGGAAATTTTGTTACCTCTGAAGCAAGTTCTATAGGTTTACGGTCAATGATTTCCATTTGACAAGTCACTCTGCGAAACACACTCAACATTTTGAATTGATGATTTCACTTTTTTATCTAGGTTTTCGTGGTTCATCATTCAAGCCATTTCAAGCACAGTGACATTGTTGGGAAAAAAACGAGGACAGCAAATCACAAAAATCTAGAAAAATGAATATTCCACTCCAATTTCACCATCATTTTGGATTAGGCGTTATATATCCATTTTGTTAGTGTGAACTATCTTTTCATTTGGAATGTGGTATTTAGTTCGCTTTCTACCTGTAAAACGCCCAATGTTAAATTCCGGTTACTCAATGCGAAAAATATCGATAATATCGATATTGTCCATAATAACGTTAACTTCGAAAATATCGACAATTTTGATAACATAGATTTTATCAATAAACCGATAATATCGATACATTGTGATCATCGATAAAGGATAATCCAGAATCACTATCGCCCACTTCTAATCCCTAACCTGGCCACATCAACAACCAATATTACTTATACTCGTCTCGTTGGTTGAGTTTATACACTCTTCTAGACACTCGTTTATTAAACACACGCTACTGAAAGGACGTTTGTAACACTTCTTATATAATATACTATTTCATATTTGACCCTCATTGAGCGATAGCTTACACGGTTCACACCAAGTAGTTTTCAACATATCTTGGGTTTTGCTGCATCTCGCTCCGCTTGTCCAGCAGAAACTCATCATTACACAAAATGACATCAAAGTGGAAAACGAATTGTCAATATTGTGTCATAATTTCGAATTCAAATTTATTAATAACAATTATCCATAGCATATATCATCTAATATTTTTATTGATGTATACCTTACATAAAAAGGAGGCAGACAATCTTAGAAATTAAAAAGTTGTGCTCTGTTTAATAATAATGGTGATTGAAGGAGACTGGCGGATATACATTCGTCATAAGAAATCAACGACGTAGTTATCGATCAGTGAAAAACTGAATAATCAGAAGGACATTAAAAAACAACAATCTATGAGATATACCATTTCAAGTTTTGTTCTTGTTTCAAGAAAGACCAATATTCATGTTTCAATCATACATACTCACTACTGTATTATTTGTGGTACCTATTATAATCAATAAGTAGAGTTTTTCAGATTTCTTTCCTGGTTTCTGGATTTATGAAGCAGAATAACTCAATGATTCTCCGATGGAGAGTAGTTAATCTGTCTTTGAATATCATTGTGTTGATGGATCATACAAATAGTCTTTCAGGAGTATGGCAAGATCAATTCATTAACACAGATAAATTCTGGGAGAGATCAACTTCTCTGTCTTTTCTAGAGATTACCCTAAAATAACCTTAAAACTCGTATACAATGATATAGTTACAATATATTGTTCAGATGTTTCGAGTAACATTGAATATATCTTATGAATTAACATTGCTCTCATGTCATTCATGACATATCAATATTATATTTACCATTGAACTTCGAAATGCTATATACTCTTCATACTTTCGGGGGTTCGGGACGAAAAATTAACCTTGAGGCATCCAAATACATTCAATAAAATGTCATCAAAGTTCCGTGACAACAACACAACGGTCTAACTTGGATCGCAATGATTTCATAAAAGTTCTCCCCAAAGGTTCATTGAATATTCAGTCCGAAATCACTAGATTCAGATTCAGTACCAGTTCGTAAATACCTGGGTATCACCACAGTGTATCATCGAAAAGGTGATAATATCTATACGACTTGCCCGGATGAGCCTTCATCCGAATTCACTCTTAGATTCCGTAACGAATCACCTACTTAGCAATTCACCAGTTCTGGTTTCAAGACCTTCGCAACTGAAGCCTTGAAAATAACCTTATTTCACAACGCACAGAGTTTTCTCGTATGTTTTGAGTTACGACTTCCATTGGCCTTACTTCACTGGACGACTAGAATACTCGCGAATATTTCGATCAGTGGCACACCACTACATTGTATTGTAAATAAATACAAGGAGGTCAGATTCTTATCCACACAATGTTCCTGAAATGAACAACAATAGTAGATTTCTGGTGAAAAACAAATACTTTCCTGGCTAATGCCACACAGAACATTGTATTACATCCTCCGGTAATCTATGCATCGACTCGTATAAACGAATACTGATACCATCGTCCACCAATATTTATTGGTGGACGATGCTGATACAAGTGGATATTTCCTGAATGCCTATTAATTTCGATCTAGCCAGGCCACGCTAGACACCTACAGACCGGTTTCGAGCTCTCCGACTCTCATCAGTGTAGAGTAGTCTCCAGCCAGCAGTCCTCAGAACACCGACTAAGCGAAGCCTAGCCAAACAAAAATCAAGTCGGCATTATATTCCCCCAGAGTCGTCCTTCATAGACAATATGAAAGCAACGCCATCTGAGTAGAAACGAAGGAAAGAAACACTCCAAAACTGAAATTCCCATACGGGAGTGGCTGGTTGCCCGACTGGCGGCATTTCAACTACGAAATAGCCACTATGCTCGAAGTGGAATGAAATGTTGAATAAATCCAAGAATTAAGCTCAGTGGATATCCACCCAATGTTCATAAAATGAACAACAATGGCAAATTTCGAAAGAAAAACAACTACTTTGCTGGCTAATGCCACGCAGGATATTGTATTACATCCTCCCGAAATCTATGCATTCTTTACTATTTAGATATAGCTTGACAACATGCAGGGAACATTTGGAATGTGCAAATGTATGCAAACTTCTTTATATTCCTTGTCAATTGTCAGTGGCTAATAGGAAAAAATACAGACTTACAGATCTGATAACTCTGAAGCGGTTGCAATAAAGTTATAACAATGCTCCTGACAGTCGAATGGCAATATGACTTGCAGACAATATGATGATGATGATGCTTCATGACTATAGTGTGTATATGCGGGGCTTTGGATCAAAAAAGCGATAGAGGACTATACAACTCACCCTATGTGAAGCAATGAAACAAAGTAATCAATAGACTGGAATCTGATAAAAACTTCAGTCAGACCAGCATATATAGGAGATAACATAATCAATTTGAGTGTTGAGCACTCACTATATCAATATTTATTTAGCTATTTTGTACACCATCTTCTCCACGGTTTATTGTTGTCTCAACATTATTGCCACATAACTCTTGTTGAATTTCTTCTAGAGTTTTACCTTTCGTTTCTGGTACTAGGTGAGTTGTTATGAATACTGAGAAGATAGAAATGATTCCAAACAATAAGAATGGTGCATAGAGCCCAACTGATACGTTCAGAAAGTGAAAAATATTATTGCTCACGAATAACATAATCCCATAGGTCCATATGAGGACACTAACTGCTTTCGCTTTAATGCTAGCAGAAAAGAGTTCACCAGCCATGAGCGTAGGAATGCTAAAACAACCTGAATCGATTCCAATGGTGTAAAGAATTGTACAAACCATCGGAGTCCATTTCACAGCTTCCAGGTTTATATCTATTGCATATTGTTCTATGCAAAAGTAAATTCCCATTATGATGAGTGTGATACTACAAACACCAAGTGACCACATGAATAATTTTTTTCTTCCGAGTATCTCGAGTAAAAATCCAGATATGAAGACACAAATGAGTCCTAGACCACTGGCTACCATACTAGTCGTTTCCGAGCTCAGACCAGCCTCGGATTGCTCGAAAATGAATTTGGTGTACATTGTTATTGTTCCTGTACCAATCAGTTGTTGAGAAACTCTTAGGAAAACTCCTGCTGCAAGAGCTCTCCTGTTTGCTCTGACGAGGAAGAGATCTTTCCATGTGCCCCGTTCTGAAAGCTGTCTCTTCATGTCGATCTTCAGTTTGTTACATATTTCGTCCACGTCTTCTATGCCTCTGAGCCATCTCAAGGATTTCTTAGCACTCTCTTCATTTCCTGTAAGATCGAGATAACAGGTTATTCCTAGTCCTATTCACAGAAATGATATCATCGCCTAAGATATGTAGGATAACCGGTAAGGAATACTGATAAACATTCATGTTTGAGGATGCATAGGTTTTTCATAGTTTCGAAATGTCCTATATATTCACGTTCGAATCACATCGGTTGTCTGAATGCCACAAGAGTCTTGATCTGGTCAGAACATTATCGATAACATCAAAATCAACTCACGTGCAACCATGACTCAGGAACTTTGTGAATATAATGAAGGAATATAATGTACATTCTTCAAAGACAGATTAGCGTTTCGAGAAAACATGAAAGAGAATTGTGTTGTTTAACTTGATAAATTATGAAAATATTATAAATCGTTCGATCATGAATCTCAAGTGCAACTACCTATTTTTTGATCATAATATCAAATGGATCACGAACAGAAATTCATTTCTGGAAATGATCACTTCCTCATATTATAGGACTACCAGTAGAATATTTATATATCTAGGCATCGGAATGGAAGCGGTTTCATACGATTTGAGAAAAAATTGATATTCATGGATGGACCCAGATAGCACACACTCGCCTAAGGTCATCCTCAATGTGTCGCCAAACGCCTGGAGAGGACGTTCTATTTTCCACAACCTAAGAACATCATCAGGCGTAAATTTAGCGCTGTAATTGTCCTAAATGAGTTCTTTCAGTGACAGCCTGAGGATGTAAAGAATTTCGTGCCTACGGACGTCTTCAGATGACATTCCATGAAATAACGTGTCATCGAAGACACAAGGAAGAAAAAGAAGAACTAGAATTGAGGTTATGTCTCATGATAGTCATGATTTGTTCAAAATACATCATAATATTAATGATTATATCAAAATTATTGGAGTATTCATTGAATACCTCCATCATGCATTCATCAAATTTCTATTTCACAAAATGATTGCGAGAAGAACTTATTGCACAGAATTAAAAGATAACAATAACAAAAGGATGATAATCTCTGTTGATGACATTTCTCTCAGGTAGCAAGAAACAAAGGTGAGTAAATACTAAATAGAATCATTGATAGTACCGGACATGAAATATTGATACATTCATATACATTATTTATTGTTTCAGGAGGTTATTGACAACACAAACTTGATGATATCATCATAGCAAACATGTTTTATTCCAAGATATCTTTGCTTCTTCAGAATCTATAAAATATTGTATGGAAGCTTGCACATTCAGTATGAATTCAATAAAGGTAGGTACCTGAATCAAATCATTGATATAGTAGGTACTGGACATGAAATATTAATAGGTTAATTATATTTGTTTCAGATGAAGTTATTGAGAACACAAGATTGATGATGTCATCAGAGCAAAGATGTTTCATTCCAAGATATTTTGGCTTCTTCGAAATCTATGTGAGATTGTATGCATGTTTGCACTTTCAGTATATTCAATAAAGGTAGGTACCTAAATCAAATCATTGATATAGTAGGTACTGGAACATGAAATATTAATAGGTACATTATTTGTTTCAGGAGGTTATTAATAACACAAAATGATGATCAGAGCAGAGATATTTTATTCCAAGATATTTTGGCTTCTTTGGAAATTATGAAAGATTGTACATAATGCAGACTTGAACTTTCAGTAGATTCAATAATGGTTGGTACCTTACTACATAAATCATATCATTGATAGTAAGTACTGGACATGAAATATTAATACATTGTTTGTTTCAGATAGTTTTGCTTCTTCAGAATCTATAAAATATTGCATGAAGGCCTCAACTTCCAGTTGATTCTGCATCAGGAATGTCCAGAGTTCAGAAATCAAAAACAACATGGAGAAATATAACTACCAATAGGCAATAACTTCTAGTAGTGCTCAACAAGAAGCTGAAATACATTTCTTCAAAAAGGAAATTGAAATTTTTCAGAATAAGTTATAAATAATAGAATGTAAGTTTTTCATTTGGTTTTTCATTTGAACCTATTATGAATAGAGGGAAATTTTGCAAATATCATGACATCCATATTATTTTGAAGAAATTATCATTTGCATAATACAAGGTGAGTCAATAGTGTGTTATCCTTGTATATTAGCCAAACCATCAGATAAATAGAGAAAATTCAAGTACAACAGTAATAGGGTTTCATGAGAACTTTCACATTGAATTGTTTTCATATCTGTATAGGGTGTTTGAATTCCAAGATATATTGACTGATGATTGTTTTTTTTCCAAATGGGTCACCCTGTAAACTATTGCATTTTTAGGTTCTCCCTGAAGAGCTGATTTCATCAATGTATCAAACTTTGGGTCTAGCGGGAATGATTACAGAGATATAGGGTGTTCAAAAACAAGATTTTTCAATTTTAGGATTTTTTTTGTGGAAACTATTCAATATTGGTCAAAACGGTTCACATTTCCTTATGAACTTTTGATTTACTATCTAATGACATTCAATCGGAACAAATAGAGGGTGGTTCAACATTCAGAATACTGATCAGCTTATTGTATCTGTTCCAAATAAATATCAGTAGATAGCTAATCAAAAGTTAAGACAGGGACATGTGAGCCGTTTTGACCATTAATGAATAGTTTCGACACAAAAAATCCTACATTTGAAGAATCTCGATTGTCAACATATCTCTGTAATAATTCCCACTAGACACCAAGTGTGATGCATTGATGAAATCAACTCTCCAGGGAAAACTCAAAAATGTAATAATATACAAGGTGTTCCATTGAAAAAAACCAATCATCAACCGATATCTTGGAATTCGAACACCCTAGCTATAGATATGAAAACAACTTTAGGTGATTGTTCTTATGAAACCCTATTACTGTTGTACTTGAATTTTCATTTTATATATCTGACGGTTTGGCTAATATCGGAGGAGAACACACTAGTGACTCATTCTGTATATGAATAATATTCTCCCATAAATCTTGAACCTCCTTGAAACATCATCAAAAACCGCCTCAAGTTGTTACTATGATGTCCTGAGGTTGTCTCAAAAGATTTTATAGGGATGTTCTGAGACGTTATTAGTATGTAGAGAATGGTAACAGGAGGACGTCTTAAGAATGTCCTCTGGCTCGCTCTCGACGTCCTGAGGACATTATTGTGAACGCCTCAGAAGGGCCTCAAAAGGAATTTGTGCTATCTGGGGAGGTACAGTTTCGAATGGAAGGTGCGTCGAAAGCTCATAACTCATATGTATATTCCACCACTAATTGCCCGTATTCAATTTGATGCATACCTGATATACTTTTCAAAATTATTCAATTATTGTAGGTTCATACTAAATTTTCGTATGAAATCACCAATTATATCAATGATATTCAAACTGTGGCGCAGTAGCTTCTACAGAGTGTTCCGGTGATCATGTTACAAACTTCTACCCAGATAGCACGGGACGTCCCGAAGACGTCCATTTTAGGTCCATTTTTGGTCTGAACGTCCAGGACCTTTTATGGACGTTTTTAAGACGTCCATTATTGGACATACTCCAGACGTCCAGAAAAAGACGTCTTTAAAACGTCCAATTTACAGACTCTCACGGTATATCAGTTTAAATTGATATAAGTAGGTAGGTATATATAAATTTTGAAATTAGAATTATTGAATTGAATATGGACATGAATAATGTCAAAAAATATATTATATATCAGCTGTATTAATATATTGAATTTCATTTTATCATTAATATTATGAATTTGAAATATTTATGATTTTAACTGATTTGTACCAACTTATATAGTTATGTTGAATCATATTCCTTCAATCACATAATATACCTATACAATTTGACCATTCTTAAACCCACACTGAAGTATTCATACAAGCCGCGCTTTTATAATAAGATTTGATTGTATCACTGAATATGTATAGCAACCAAAGAACGCATGCGTGCTCAGCGTTGCCAGACTTACTATTTTAGCAGTAGATATACTGTTTTTGTCTCCGTTCTACTGTTCAACTATTCAAGGCAATGGTCTGATTGGTCAAGTTTTGATATGACGTAACTACCCAATATGCAACAATGAAAAATTAATGGGACATCACAGTAAGAAGATGTATGATAAAAATATACTGCAACTATCATATTCAGTCTGATTAGTGAAAATTAGCTTTTATTTCCAATCTGGTTGCGGTTTTCACAAATTTAATTTTTTGTTTCATTATTTTTTGTTATTCTTCGTTCGATTTTTGATAGGTATAGAGACCGAACATGATTTTTTTTTTCGTTTATTATATAGGTGACTATGTTTTTTCATTTATGATAGCAATTGTGATGATTATCAAAATCTTCTGTTCAGTTTTGATGATCTACTGTTTTTCCCCACCCATCTACTGCTCCGACAAATTTTCATCCGGCAACACTGTGCGTGTTACGTGTGAAACTGTGAAACGAAAACGTAGGAAGATGGCGTCCGTCAGTTGACCACTGCCGAGTGCCGATTAAACTGTGATTCAGGTCCAAGGACATTCTGAACTTTTCGGGTTATTAGACTGTAAAAGCAGTGAATAAGTGAAATCTTTGCGGATATCATCTATCAACTGGTGAACTTCGATCTCGAGTTCCATCGAGATGTTTATTTGAAGGCAAGTATGGCTATCGACGCTATCGTTTTATTTTCATTCGCATGAAGATGCTTGAGTAGGAACATCAAATCTGTAGTTGAGAACATTAGATATCTTTCTAAATAATTTGATCTCATGCAAAGCTCTACCTAATCCTATTTCCATCATCTACCAAAGTTTATATTTTTGTATATAGTTAAAACATAATATAATTCGTGCAAGGTTCATAGAGGTTATATAGGTACCTACCTAAGAATCAGTTTATGTATGGAATAAGTTCTCAATGAAATAAAAATTATGAAGTATTCCGCTATACTGACTACTACACGTTGAAAGTGGGTGTGTGTTTATGGTTTATGGTATTCACAGAAGATGTTATTGAATATTATTATTATTTACAGATCCAGTGAAGAAGACAACAGAAGGCTGCCAATCAGAAAAAGACATTATCGCGCCTGCGTACCTGGATGAATCACGCGACGTTTTTAGTGGTGCAGCTGCTGATATACGATATGGAAGAGTGAAATTGAAACAACTACCTGAATCTCTGTTCATATTATTGTTTGCGAATAAATGTTAACTGATATTCAAGTATTTCACTCTTCAGATGGGTCAGAAAATCAATATTCAATATTGTCTGAATGTCCTCAATACGTCCATTTTTCATCCCAAAAAGGTCCTAGTCTGGACCTAAACTGGACGTCCCCAAAACATCCTGATTATTAACAATGGACGTCCTCAAAACGTCCATAAGACGTCCGTCGTCCGGAAATGGACGTCCCCAAAACGTCCTGAATGTCCAGAGTGGACGTTTTTAAAACGTCCATAAGACGTACTTGTGCTGATTGGGTAGGGTAGATAAAACACACGAAAATAAGTGAAAAAAGTTCATGTGGAGATGGATCCGGAAACGCTTCTTCAGGGAGCTAGGGCCCTTCGAAGATGATCTTCAAAAACTACTTTTCGTTTTATAGCTTCGGTACTACTGCAGCTATCGCAACCAATTTTGGTACATGAAATCTAGTTCGTAGGTTCATCAATTTGAGCCTTCCGGATTATGTCACCTTCATCCAGGAGTGTACAAACCAGGGGGGTATTTGGGTAAATTTGACCTTACTCCTCTTAGGTTTCAATTTCTTACCATTTTTATATGTCACCGTTTCCTCCGAAAATGGCTAAATAACCAATTATTACGTTGAAATATGAAAATGAGGTTCAGTACAGATAGTGAGCATTATTAGTTAGTCAAATCTTCTTCTTTAATGAAAATAAAGTAGATGAGAGAAATTTATTGCCTTTTCGAAATTGGGGGTATAAAAAGTAAAAGGGAACGTATACAAAATATTTAAAAAAAACAACAATTAAACCTACACAAGCAAAACTAATGATAAATTTGCAATGAATCATTCACGAGCACCAATGAAAAACTTGAAGTTTTGAAGTTTCAAAAGTACAAAATAAACAAGTAACACGAACAGGTTCAACGAGTGAGTCAAGGATAAGGCAGAGTAAATTTTTGTCTTGAAGATGAATTTACTAACGCTGTCGTTGACTGACCCTGTACGTACCAAAATAAATTCGAAATAACGGTTGCTGAAAATGCCTTCCACCACGTTCAATACATTTATTACACCTACGTAGCATATTTAAATTGACGTCAGTGAAAACATCAGGCATGGTTTGGATCATTTCAGCCGCAACTATCTGTACTGAACCTCATTTTCATAATTATTTCAACGTAATAATTGGTTTGAGACCAATAATTTATTATTGATTGGATTTAGCCATTTACGGAAAACGGTGACAGATAGCGATTTTTACAGTTGTACCTTTTTTATGTAAAAGGCATTGGAGAATCATAATCAGATATGAAAATGGTAAGAAATTGAAGCCTAAGAGGAGTAGGATCAAATTTACCCAAATACCCCCCTGGTTTGTACGCCCCTGGTTGAAGGTGACAAAATCCGGAAGGCTCAAATTGATGAACCTACGAACTAGATTTCATGTCCCAATATTGGTTGCGATAGCTGCAGTAGTACCGAAGCTATAAAACAAAAAGTAGTTTTTGAAGGTCATCTTCGAAGGGCCCTAGCTTCCTGAAGAAGCGTTTCCGGATCCATGTTCACATGAACTTTTTTTCTTATTTTCGTGTTTTATCTACCCTAGAAGTTTGTAACAAGATCACCGGAACACCCTGTATGTTGAGGAAACAATATCTTGTGATCAAGAATTTTGTGGAAATCTCATCGTTTGTGAAAATTTCACATTTGCTAATGATTTCCATCAAGTACCGGCCGAGTAAATTCGGAAAAAAAACTCCAATGGCTTTGAAGTCGGTGTGTCAAAGTCAACTTCTGCCAAACTACTCCTGAAGAACCACTTCCAACTTCAATTATTCAAGTTACACCATATACAGGGTGTTGCGAAATTCGACCGACAACACTTGATAGGTGATAGCCCTCGTGATTTCATCTTTGAGATAGGGACATAAGGTCTTCAAGTGTTCAGTTCTCGACATACAGGGCGTTTAAGTTGAAGAATAAAAATAGTTGTTTCGCAATATCTCAAGAAAAATTGAATATTATGCATACAACTTCGGTAAATGGTTTCATCTTTGAAAGAGTCATTATTTGACCAGGAAGTCATTCCGGACATTTCATCCAGTGATGTCCTAAAGGGGGGTGAGGCAACTTTCACTCCCATATTTTTTACGCCACTGATTACATTTTTCAATTATTTCCAATTCCTTGAATTCATTGTTCAATTATGTTCAAAAAATGCATCACCTTCAACTGAGCTGAAATGAACAGTTTTCGAGATATTCGACCCAAAATAGAAGATTGCAGTGGTAGAAAATTGCAAAAATATTCGTCTGGTGTTGAGTAGATTAGATACTATTCAGATCTTATTCTGTAGCTGAACAGAAATTGGTTTTCCACACATAAAGAGAAAACAATAATAATTGTGTAATGTTCTACTACTGAAGAAAAATTTCTATGCAAACTTCTATTTTGGGTCGAATATCTCGATAACTGTTCATTTTAGCTCAGTTGAAGATGGTAAAATGAACTTCAGTTCACCTGACGAAGCTACTGTGTGAGCGGAACATGTCGTGTGTTTGGAAATTTTGTGGAAATCTTATCGTTTGTGTGGTTTTTACATTTTTCATTGCTACTGTTTCTGACGTGATACCATTGAAGTACACTAAATGTCTTTCATCTTTGAGATATGAATCGAAAAGTGACAAAATGGCTTCAAAGTCATTTGAGTTTGACGAGAGTGTAATTTCTTTACTTTTTTTTTCCAAGTGGCATCATTGATATATTGGCTGTATGAAAAGATCTGGGACACCAGGAATAGTTGAATATCACCAAACTCCATCAATGAGGTGATGTTTGTTCAGACATTGTCGTTCTAGATGACAACCTAGTTAGGTAGTTAGTAGGCAGGAGCTATCCTCCTCGCACTAGGTCGCCTACTAGGTTTCCATTTAGATCGACAATGGTTCAGACAATGATCGCTCACCTTTACTCATGTAGTAATATGGAGATTCAGGCATGAACAGCATCAATATGCAGTATGTAATCGGAAGCACCATACAAATCAATCCAGACTGTCGCACATCGAAATACGAGCCTATAACGTTTATCATAAACACTCCGACTAGCGTAAATGTGCTAAACAAGTTTCCACAGGAACCCCGAATTTTTGGCACTGATATTTCTCCGATGTAAATCGGTAGACTGGCGTGGACACATGCATCCCCAATTCCCACGCAAAATCTGGAGAGGTACAAGACCCACACATTATTTGAAATCACGGTGAATAAGAAACTCAGCATGTGCGGAACAGTCAGTATCAGTAGTACTTTTTTTCTGCCGATGGCGTCACTCAGTTTACCGAAAGCAGGCACCAGTAAAATCATGGAAATCGGTGGAATGACGGTGAAGAAAGATGCTTCATCTTCGGTTATACTATAGTTCTCTTTGTCTTCCAATATCATGACGATGAATGGAGAAGTCCAAGCGAAGAGTATTCCATATGTGATGGTGGAAATACTTGCTGAAATGAAAAAGGTGTGACTATTGCTATTCAATGAGTGGTCACGGATTCAATTTTTGAGACAGTGAATTTCTACAGTTCTTCAACATGTCAGCTCATGGAACTCAAAAATAAATAAGTATCACATCGTTCTTCAGGGTAATTATGATATGAAAACTGATCAAGATTTGATAGGTCAGAAACAGAATTCAAACCCATGTAGTCGAAGTTATACCGAATCATTTGGATCTATTTTAGTCTTCAAATGAGTCTACAAATGAGTTACAGGATGTTTTCATTAATCTACCATTTTCATGTTCAGTTTTCAGCAGTGAATACCATGTTCTATCTATATCAACTGAACAGGAAGCAATGCTATTGCCTCCTTACTGAAGATGGACAACATATGACACAGTGGAATAATATCAAAATCATAGGAAAGGAAGATAACAACCAAAAAAGAAAAATCAAGGAATCCGCTTGCATTCTTCTAAACGGAGACGATAGCTTTGCTTCCGAGTAGATTGCAATTACTTTCCGTTCGAGTTATTGCGTTATCAATTTTTTCACGCAATGATGTATTGCAATAATTTCTGCCTAGGCTCAGTGATATTATTGGCTTCAATTAGGCTCCATTACATTCACACGCACATATTTACATTGATGAATATCAAATCATTTCGGTAGTACACAGTTGGGTTGGTTCGAATATTGAGAAATATTCACTTGATATTTCCTCAGAATCAAATAGTAGGCAACACAGAGAAAGGAATCATGATATCAGTATCGAATAGACGAGTTTCATCGCTTAAAGTGCACGAAAGGCAATACCTAGGAAGTTTCAGACAACAAAGATATTTGGTCTGTTTCTGGATATCGATTTTAAACCACATGACATCAAATTCATTTGTTTCTAAAATTGTTTTCTTGATAACATTAGGATTCCTTCTCTGAGAATAGAAGCAGGGACCTTCCTTGAACCTGAATCGTGCGTGGAGTCCGTATATACCCAGGACAAACCATATAGGTCGTATTCGTGGATGGATTGACCTGTGCCTCAGTCATCAGGGCCATGAAATTTCAGGGATATTGAATGGTGATTTTTGAAGTATCATTCGAAAATTTTGTATCAAAAAATGTATGTATTCATGTCATATTATACTAACTACTATATATCTGATATATGCATATCTGTAGGAAATTCGAGAATTTGTGTTCTCGGCGTACTCTTTCATATGGTTTATTGTAAATCAATTCGAAGAATCAAATTAATGGTCTATTATTTTAATTATTTCCGTCCTAACTTGACATATCCAATCATTTAAGTTCAGATCCTAAATCCAAAATTCTGGTCAAATAATTTGAAGATATCCTGTATATTGTTCCGATCAAACTTTGAAAACTCACCAATTAAGATTGCTATGATTTGAGGCAAGAACCTCTCTTCCTGGATTGGAGCCTTCATTTCATCTCTTTCTCAATAAAAAACTAAATATCTAGCTGGTGAATTCAATTTTTTTTTTCTCAGCAAATTCTGACATCCATTGATTTCGAGTAGAAATACAAATATTTCATTAATTAATGATTTTGATATGTTCGACTAAGAAATGCAACACCCTATGATAATATTATCGAAACCATTGCACTGTATATAGACAGCTATACTATGAATCCTGAATAGCTTGTTATCAAAATGGTATTATATAAATATATAGAATGGAAAATAATCTTTTTGTGCTATAAGACAGTTTTGATTATGTATACTCTGGCATTAACTTAGGTATAGACCAGGGACGGACAATGAATTTCAGTTTTTTATGTGCTCACGCATCAGTTAGTTGATCTCAGAACATATAAAATGAGCATTATGAATTATTATTGTGATGTTTACTGGACTGGATCTTTCGAATGTAGCGCCGTTATACCATGTCACTTCTCGTTGAGTCAGGGTTGACATTGATGACAGTCGACATTTGTTTTTCTCAAAGTCAACAATAGTTGATGCAGCAAATCCGATTTGATATAGGTATACACGAAAATGTATAATCAGTATTTTCAAGCATTGAGCCAATTCCACCACCTATTATACCTCCTGTCGTTGTCGGCAATACGACTTAAGCTTTCTGTCTACAACTTCCATTTCCGTTCGTATGATTTTTTTAATCTCTTGGAGCGCCCAAAAGGAAATCCCTATAACGTCCGAAGAACATTATGCGTACCCTAGGAGAATAGGAGGAGTTCTTGGGATTACTTCCACTGGCACATAGTTCCAAATCTTCACCGTTCTACAGACGAATGAGTTTTGAGAGGGTATTGTTCGACATATTTCAAGGATGTGCTGACTGCACTTGTCGAGTTCGTCTGACTTGTATTGCTAGTGAATAAATCATTGTATAGATTTCCAAAGACAACTCCCCGTGGAAGTATATGTACCTATACAGAAGTTGATGACTTTCTTATGGTGTTATGATGAGGTCAAAGGATTAATGAGTGTGGCATCACTCACCAGGCGAATGAATGACTCTTCTCTGGATGGAATCAAAAGCATCTGCGTATGTCTGGATGCTGAACCCCATATATGAGAACAGTATTCTCAAACAGGCAATATCTGTGCTTTGTGGATCATGAGAAGTTGTTGGGATGAAGAGGTAATTTTTGTATGGAAAGAGAATTCGAATTTTTGTGAATCAGTTTTCGCGAAGAATTGGACACGTTTTTTTCTATGAGTATTGCTGATGGAGATAGCAACCATAGTGTTCGTATTCTCAAGAAAAATACAGGAATGATCTTAAGTGAATTCAACTAGTTTGTTGGTTGCCCATCAGACTGTGATTTCAGCAAGATAAGAAAAATAATGTACCATTATTTATTAATTTATTTTTTTATGAATTCATACACCACTCAACAAAAACCATTTACGGAGTGGAATTCATCACAGAATCAGAGAATAGGTATAAACTACTGAAATTGCCAATCGAGGGGTAAGTACTTAGCCATTTTTTGTACACCAAGGGGTAATGAATGCCTCAATTCACCGAAATTACCCTGCAATGCTCATTTTTCAGTCAACAATACCCCGCATTGCCCAACATTGCCCTCCAATGCCCAACATTGCCCCCGCAATGCCCAACAATGCCCCCCAATGCCCAACAATGCCCCTAGTGCATTATATAACTATCTCTTTTCATTCCATGTGTTGAAGAGAGACAGACTATATTGAAATATAAAAACTGACTTAGTCTTTTACATCATAGTTCAAATTCATTTTAATGTCTTAGTGAATCAATAATCTGAAGGGACGAGAAATAATGAATAATTATACATATTTTATCAAGAAATTACACATAACAAGCAGTCGAACATGAAACAAACATAGAAACACACGCCTTTTCGCAAAAACAACTTAGGACTTAAGACAAACATTTTGTCTCTCCTATACTTGATAACTATGTAGTTATTCCTAGAGGTACTTCTTTAGACAGTATCACAGTAATTCAGAGATCATAGTTTGGTAACAGAAACAATGGGTCTACATATAAGTCCAGATATTAGGTAACAGTACTAAAATCTCGACTAAAATTAAACATTTTTTTAAGTTTATAGTTATTAAAAAAACTCTCTCTGAATTCTTTCTCGAAACTAGAACAAATTTGAGATTTTCTTGAACCAAAAACAGCTTGAACCTGAATATATATTTTGTTAAAGAGTAGAATGCCTCCACATCTGTGGAATCGTCTAAAACGATATCTGGTTCATTTTCTTCTTCTGAAGAATCTCCGATACATTCAGTTTTCTTTTTCTTAGTTTTTGAATTGTCAGCTGGTATTTTTGACTTTCTTTTTTGGACAGATCTAGGATATAGAATTGAAACGCTGTATGCGATCGTTACTGATCCGTCCCTACCCCTCATTCAGAAGCCAGCATAATGATGATTTTTTTTATTATAATCATATTATAATTTCCCAAAGTGACTTTCACATATGGACTTTTCTCATCTATATCGTAGTTTTTACTCGAATAGTCGGTTGAATCCTATTCCAATCCAATCCAAAGCTATAGCTGTAGCTGGAGTTGATGACAGCATGACGTGATGCGAAAAGCTTGAATGGCGCAATCAGAATGTAGACGGACTACGGAGGCATCACTTTGAACGATAGTACTGAATATAGTGACCTTGAACAGAAACGGATGCGCGCGCAACAAATTAGGCCCAAACATTGCTCCACATTGCCCTTTCAGTGCTATTTCAATACCCCGCATTGCCTAACAATGCCTCACAATACCTTGCAATGCCCATCAATACCCTGCAGTGCCCGACAATGCCTCGTATTACCCCGCAATGCCCCACACTGCCTCGCATTGCCCCGCAATACCCCTAAGTTGTACACCGGATTGCCCCATGTACTTACCCCTCGTTGCCAATAATATAAAGATTGAATCACCACCACCATTTAGTTCAGGAAGATGTTACGTAAAGTTTTTACATTCGTACTGAATGAATCAAGCTGGTCGGTGAATTTGTTGCATATATTAGACATTCTATTGCTATACAGGGTGTCCGGAGATAAAACCGACAAGATTTATGGGGTTATAGGGACTGTCAATATGATTGCAAAATGCCATAAACCAAGGTCCGAAACCGCTTCGTTATTGACATACAGAGTGATTTGTGGATTTTGACAAAAAATTCAATGCGGCATATCAAATACAGGGATTAACCGATTAGAATCAGATTTGGTACACGGATTACACTGAAAAGCATCAACAAGTAGCCCTCTGATCGAAACCAATATCAGGACCAGAATGATATTTTTTCCCAATGTTGATTTATTGTGAGAATAACTCACCCTGTATAATGATATCCAAAAATTCCAACTCAGATTCGAAATCTACGGTGAAAATTGTATAGGAATTTCTCGAAGAATCTTCTGGCACCATCTTATAGCTATTCCGTAATTAATTATTATTTCAATTTTTTTCATTCAAAAATCAATTATTGTCGGATGAAGTACCATCGAAATTGGTGATATAATAAATATTAACCAAACGATGATATGAATATCGTTATTTTCTTCAATCAGTTCGTAAATCGTAGTAGAATAAAATAGTCACATAACCCGAAAAAACTGAAGAATAAATTCGTATCAGGACTGGAATGATGTTTTTTATGATCATATTTCTGTAAGAATAGATGATCTAAAATAACAATAATGAAAATCACTGAGAAACGTTACAAACTTGTTGAAAAATGATCGGACTGAACTTTCAAATAACTAATCCGAATGAGTAGCTTATAATGTTTGTGTAAAAAGAATACCTACTAGGCTTGACTCAAATTCAGAATTTCAATATGGAAAACCATTGTTAAGCTGTCATAAGCGTTTGTTTCATTGGTGTTCAGTTCTGAGAGTGTGTTTATGATGCCGTTTCATTTCACTAATGAGGAATACACATGCAGATATTCTATTTGTGTATGTGCTTCACCTGGTGATGATCACCTAGATTTCCTTGTCAATTCTTGACCCGAATCTATTGCAAGGTGTAAATTACGGGGTATGTGGTTTCAGCATGATGGTGCTAGACCCACTTTTCAGTTCCAAAAATGTATTGATGCTGGAGGGCTCTACTTCGAAAATGTTTTGTAATACTGGGTAGTGAAAGTTTTTCACGAATTCATTGGTTTTGTTATGTTCATCAAGAACAGTTATTGTTCGTTGTGTAGTAATTTCATAAATTCAAATTCATTAGTGAGCGAATATAATTTACGAAAAATTCACTCTCATCCTTTGTCAACAGGTTTTTATACGATTTTTTTAGATTTCGAATCGACGATTTGATTATTGATAATTATTGATGTACCTACTAGGTCAGCTAATATAAACAAAAAAAAACTCATTCCAGTCCTGATACGAATTTATTCTTCAGTTATTCCGGGTTATGAGAGTATTTCATCTTACTACGATCTACGAATTGATTGAAGAAAATAACGATATTCATATCATGGTTTGGTCAATATTTTTTATATTACCAATTTTTGATGGTACTTCATCCGACAATAATTGATTTTTGGATGAAAAAAATGAAAATAATAATCAATTACGGAATAACTGAGATAGTGCCAGAAAATTTTTCAACAAATTCCTATACGATATTCACCGTAGATTTCGAATCTGAGTTCGAAATTTCGTGTTTTTTTATACGAGGTGAGTTATTCTCACAAAAACTCAACATAGGGGAAAAATATGATTCCGGTCCTGATATTGGTTTCGATCACAGGGCAACTTCTTAATGCCTCTTAGTGTAATCTGTGTACCAAATTTGAATCCAATCGGTTAATCCCTGTATTTGATATGGCGGATCGAATTTTTGGTCAAAATCCACAAATCACTCTGTATCTTAGTAGCGAAGCGGTTTTGGACATTCGTTTATGGCATTCTGCAATCCTATCGACAGTCCCTGAAACCCCATGAGTTGTGTCGGTTTTATCTCCGGACACCCTGTATATCCATCAGATTCCTTATGTTGAGTTTAGATGAAGTTCATTAGCCATCCCTATAAGTCTAGTTATTTCCAATATATGTTGAAATTCTTGAATATTTCTTCATTTTCAATTTCCTCTTCGGAAATAGATAACTGAAATATTTTTGAATTGAATGATTTTCGAAAGCTAGGAATCTCATTTCTCTGTGAC